CCGGAGTCGAAAGTTGGAAGAAAAGGAGCAAAGAGGAGGAAACAACCTCTGTTCAAGGTTTCCATTGGAGTTCACGGTCTTACAGGACCGTGAACTGGAGCCAAAATCTGTGAACCGCGAAGCGTCCAGGGCGAATCCAGAGGTTACTGACGTCGAGTGAGTTCACGGTCGCTAAGACCGTGAACTCTAAGCACAAACCGTGAATTGTGGATGTGAAGCTGTGCGTTTTGGTCTCAGCACTAAGTTCACGGACGCGTTTCCCTAGCCTATCATTGTCACCCTTAGTCGAAAGGTTAGGTGAGTTAGCTTCCTAACTTGTTGCAACGACTCTCAATTAGCTAACTAGAGAGAGTTAGGAATCTCATCGGTAGATCGATAAAGAGGGCTAGACTCTCTAGCTATGAATCACAATCCTTGACTTAACGGTTAAGAGAGCTAGTTCCCCTAGCGTAATTTTGTTGATTTCCCTTCATTGATCGACTAAGGGAGTTTGCCCCTAGCTAGTTGCATCCATCTAGCGGTGTATGAACACGTCTTTCACACTAGAGTTTTGTTTGTCGCTTCTTAGCACGAGACTAGGGGGAGCAACACTCGAGTGAAGCTCTCTCAAGTAGAATTCTCCTCCATTTACTTTCCTTGCTTGTTTAGTTTGTAGTTTTCTTAGTTTTAAAACCAAAAACCGTTTTGCTAGATAACAACTTAAGCGATTGAATTACGGGTACATGGACCGGCCCGGGTTGACAATTTAAATACTTTCCCTATACTGCACCCGGCTAGAGTTTTAAAACTTGGGCTCTAGTCGGGATTAATTTGCAGTGTAGTTCTGAGCGAGTCAAGCATACAAGAAGTTCACCACACCACAAAACTCATAAAGCTTACCACAAGTTTTCTAAAGTATACCAGAATGTTTCGACCTAGATCGTGCGACCCAGTTGCTAATAATAAGTATGGGCTCTGATTTGAACTCCGTTGTTTGAACTCTTCGGGAGTGGAGGAACCTGCGGAGAGATTGGGTGGCCCCCGTAATCTAGACTCGGACGCCCAACTTAGTACAAGATATGGATGTAGTATGTTAAGTAGAGAGTAGAATTTAGAGAGAGAGAGAGAGAGAGAGAGAGAGAGAGACTTTATATGGTCAAACGGAGCAAGGGGAAAAGAGGTCTTTTGCTAGGAGGATTTCGCCTCCTTATATAGGAGTTTTTCACAACTGATATAGCTTCTTCCCAAATCTTACTAGTTTCAATAAGACTAACCCCGTTAACTTTCTTACCAACCATAACATCCAATAATGGATCATCTGAAACAATCATAACTTTCTTGCCCTTCTCACCAACTAGAGACTGACTTTCTACTACATCATATCCATTCTTAGACACCCAAATTTTCCTCCTTGCTCAACACATCCACATTCCAATGAAAACAACTTACATTCTAGATAAACCGGCGGCAAGTGGCAATACTGGACACCAATTTTTAAAGAATCCTCTTCATCTGGCCACAACATCACATGGTCAGGAAATTCATTTGTAGCCTGCTATTCCACTAGTACTTTAGCATGACCCAGCTTTTCTCCCAATCTAGTTCATTGATCGACTCCACCCACCCAGCTACCAATTCAAATTAATCAATGAAAATTTACATACTCTAGTGGCACGTTAGCGAGACGCAACCAAATCAACAAAGCTTGTCTGCCCAAATCCTCGGCAATAATTCCAGGAGTCCATTGGCCTCAGATAAAGCAATGTTTCTCTTTTATCCTGCTATCCTTTTTACTTTTCTTAATTGATAAAACCTTATTGAAGACTTACAACAACTTCTACAAAACATAAGGTTGGAGGAGAATTGCCGGAAAGGAGCTATATCATGTCTAGCATGTTCTCTCTGTCACTTCTAGAAGAAGGTGAGAAACAACACATGAGGTGTAGGATGAAGGAGAAAGCAAGGGAGAATGCAAAAAGAATGAGGTGGCATTGGATTCAACTATCAGATTTTTCTTTGTGTATATTACTAAATTAGCTGTTAATTAGTGTCAAACTGTGATACATTCATATATATGTAGTTGAATTAGTTCACAAAGTAGCAGGCAAAGAGGTGGCATTGGATTATAGTAGAAATATAATTAAATAAGGGTAACAAGGCAACATACCTACAAATATAATCAAGTAGAATCTACAATAAAATCCAACAAGCAAGCAATAGACTTGTTCAAATTCATAATATCTCCATCATAAATTTACGATTTTCCAAAATCCAATTTTTACCAAAAACCTCAATTTTTAAATATATAAAGCAAACGAATAGTTGATTTTTTTCAGTAGTGAGCTTCCTCAAGGATAAGCTCTAACACCCATCAAAATAATTTAATGTCTAGTTTTAGAGATTTCTAATTTACAGGAAATGGATAAGCAAAATGGGGCTGGGGAGATTGTGAGAAGAAGAGAAAAAGATGATTGAATTTTTTTCAATGTATGGTCGTCTTTAAATTTCATCCTTAAACAAAATGGTTTAAGTAATGTGTCAAAATCGCTCAACAAAACCACTAAATTTATTATTTGAAATACAAATTACCTAAACTTGTGAAAGAAATAGGAAGCAAACTTTAACCTTTTTTAGCATTCAAAGATACTCCCTTACTATTGATTCTACCATCTTTCGGCAGTGAATGATGACCTTCAATATTTGGTCTACAGAAGGCATGCGTGGCTTATTCCATCAACAAGCTCAGTCAACAAATGCATGCTCTCGAGCACTACCATTGCCAATAATTGAAGGTGTGATGCGCTACATGAAAGGGACCACTTCTTCTTCCACTAGCTTCCTCTTTGTTGCAGCTTATTGCCTACTATGATTTCAAATGGGCAAGGGATGTTGATGATACATATCTACTACCGACATTCCTCTTTATATTGATGCTAGTCTATTCTCATGGAAGTCTCAATAATAGAAACTGTGATTCGCTGAAGTATTGAAGGTGAGTATCACACACTTGCTCACACTTCCACTGAGACATTCTGGATTCAAAACTTTCTTTTCAAACTCCACCAACCATATTCGTAATCATCAAGGTGCCACTCAATTTAGTGCTAATTTGGTGTTGCACTCTCGTATAAAGTACTCGACGTTAGAATATCACTTTTTCTTTTTGCCACAATGTCTAAATTATCATTTCTATGTTTCACACATCTCTACCCTTCATCAACTAACACAGAATTATGAAACCACTTATTGCCTCACATTTCTTTCTCTTCAATCCAAGATCATTGTTGTCCGTCCATTGTCTTATGGAAACATATTTTATATAATTCATGGTTATTCAATTGCTTAGATAAATAATGTGAAATTATCTCATCACCTTGTGTTTGTATTTATATATTGCTGTGGAATTTATGCAAGTGATAATCCTAAATGTGCATAGGGTCATATTCCTCGAGGTCTTCTAATGCATAACTACTCACGCCATCCATCAACACATACACGAATTGAACAAACAAACAAACAAAAAAGAATGATAAACTTTTTAGGGTTTGTTATTTATAGATGCATGAAGTAAAGATACGTTATTATACTAGATTGTAATTTCAAAGATGATAATGTAAACCAGGGATCATTCATATCATGCATCAATGGTGCATCTATTGTAATACCCTATCCCTTCCTCTAAGACCACTCTCTACCCATGCATGTGCCTCTTGCGATAGAGATTTAACTAGCTAATATGTGTTTCGTTTCATGTCATTACCTAATCAATGAAGAACAAGTAAGTTTGGATAGCATACACTTAATTATGGGCTTCTACGAACCATAACTATAGTCTATAGCATCGAAATCAATGAGAAAACTGGTTTTAAGAATGAGTAATTGCCCTTCTCCGACCCTTACTGCCCAACCTGAGAGCGGACAGCTAATGCGTTCCACTTATTTATTGAACAGGGTTCTATGGTCGGTCCGCGACCCCTGGATGCCGAAGGCGTCCTTGGGGTGATCTCGTAGTTCATACGGGGTGGAGACGATGGGGTCGGTCCATGGATTTTTCTTCCTTTTGCCGCATTTCGCTAAAGGGTGGATATAGTGCATCAAGCTGTTCGCAAGGGGCAACTTGATCCTCTTCCCCAGGGATCCCAGATGAGGGAACCCTAGGAGAGCCGCTGACTCCAACTATCGTCCATGTACGATCCATACTAGATCTGACCAACTGCCCATCCTACCTCCTCTACGTTCTTGACAACCCATCTTTGTCTCAGTAGAGTCTTTCAGTGGCATGTTTCGGTCCTCTTCCCCATTACTTAGAAAAAGTGAGCCACCGGTTCAGGTACAAGAGACTATCACTATTCGTTGAAGATAAAAGTACATCGAACCCATATGAAGTTTTACCATGAGCAGATTGAATCCATTGGGCAAATATGGGTTCAATCAAGATTTGTTTTTCGGGAGTCCCGAAAGCAAGCATGACATCATTATGAACATAAAGGCCCAAAGTATGGAATCCCAGAAAGAGGCTGGCCCAACTTAAATGGGATATGATAGCTTCTTTATGTTCTAACATTCTTGCCAATACATTATCCTCATTCTAGTTGCTCTGGAACAATTAGGAGATTTTCTAGATGAAATACGAGCAAAACTGGGATACAGTTGAGCCAAAAGATCTCGGTTTAAGATAAATTCATGAGGAAGTGGAATCTTTTTAGGATCTACTCCAGGGGTCGCAGACCAACCATAGAACCCTGTTCAATAAATAAGTGGAACGCATTAGCTGTCCGATCTCAGGTTTGCGCAATAAGGGTTGGAGAAGGGCCCTGAAAGGAGAAGTAAGGCTGGAATGCCAACAGATCTCTATGAATGGGTAAGTCGCCAATCCCTAAAACGGACTATGTAATGTACTTTATCTGTTGAACTGTTGGGTTACAGGCGGGCAGTTTACCAAAGGTTTTTATTGTATCATGTGTAATTCCTATTGAAGCATATACCCATGGGTGGTTGCAGTGACCAGGCCCGGGCGACTATTACCAAAAACATAGGTCTCCGCAAAGTCCTAAGACCATGTATGGGGGTTGACGCCTGCCCAGTGTCGGAAGGTCAAGGAAGTTGGTGACATAATGACAGGGAAGAGGACGACCAAAGCCCCGGTGAACGGCGGTCATAATTATAACATTCCTAAGGTAGCGAAATTCTATGTTGGGTAAGTTCCGACCCGCACGAAAGGTGTAACGATATGGGCACTGTCTCGGAGAGAGGCTCGGCCACCATTTCATCCGACATGCGTCCTTTTTATTTTCCAATGGATTTCCAGCTTTCATTAATTGATTTTTTTATGTAGAGGGTAATAGCTCTAGTTGCTCGCTGTTCAAGAAATCTTGTTTAGGCCGTTCATACCATCCATACAAAGTATTTTGATCTAAGATTTCCATTCTTCCAAGTTTCAGCAGTAACATATTGTTCCATGTCCAAAATATGGAAGAAATAGGTGTTTCCATGACTCTACCACCCAATCAATTCTGTTCCACTTAATCCCTATTTCATGGCCACATATCTTTTAGGCTAAGGAATGGGAAACCTTTCTCCTATTCCATGAATCCAATTTTCATTTCATCCGGGAAAAGCCACCTTTTTCTCAACAATGCCTTTGTCATTTGATCCAATAGCATTTCGTTAATCGAGCATTGATATTACTCGAAGCATAGATGGTTGATCATTCCATCCATACTCGTTTAGCATCAGTAGACCCTAGATGGTAATTTCTTGAAAACCTAGTTAATACTAAGCACAATGCATATAATATCATACAATAGAATCATAAGCATCGATGATAAATAAGCATTCATACTATACAAACATCAATGACCATCAAATAAGTGTTGAAACTAAAAGCTACTATATGCATGCTTCTTTATCATCATCACTTTTAGTTTCAATGTTTATATGATAGTCATTGATGTTTCTATAGTATGAATGCTTCTTTATTGTTGATGCTAATGATTCTATTTTATGTTACTATATGCATTATGCTTAGTATTGCCTAGATTGTCAAGAGATTACTGTTTAGGGATATCGCATTGATGCTACATGAGCATGTGAGGATTGATCATAGATGGTTGGTGTGAGTAATTATTCATAGGAAGATCTCAATGAATATGATCCTAGGGCCTCCTAGGGTTTATCACTTGTTTCTGTATCAATTTTTTTTTGGCACCGTTGTCGGGGTTAATAATCATATATAAAAGCATCTAACAATCTTATGTTTCGTATTAAGTCTTCGTTGTTTTGTAGGTTTTCATATGAGTCCACTAAGTACTAGAAGACAAAGAAAACCCCTAATATCGTGAAAGAGATAGGTCAAGAAGGAGGAGTATCAAGTTCACCCATCTTGAAGCCGAAGGAATGAACATTTAACTCGGGAGAACAAAAAGAAGAAGAGCCCTCAATCCCCACTAATTTTGACCAACCCTTGGAAGAGGAATACAACATTGACGAAGATCACTTTGATTTTGAGGAAGAATAAGCATCTTCAACTTCTTCAACACCAATAATGGCTGGAAAAGAAGGACAAAGACAAGTGGCCGTTCTATCAACTCTCTATGAGTACTCAAGACCAAGAGCATCCAACATCACCTCAAGCATTGTTGCGCCACCGACGATCATAGAAATAAGAACTCAACTCATCCAAATTGGAATTCAACTACGATTTTACCGTTCTCACTTGATCTCTCTTTGGTTCTATAGATTCGTTCTCAGAAATAAAAATCGGATCCTTAGTTAAAATTCCTAGTTGTGGCTTTATAACCGCGATGGTGTGGTGTTCTGCAGTAGTGCGATTGCTATCTTGGAATCAAGTTGCAACTCCACATGATAATACATTGCTTCGCACATTATCTCAAGGCCCTTTGCACCCCCTAAATCTCTACATGGGTGATGGTACATTCCTAGGTTCATTTGTTTAGGCCTCTGATCGGGATCATAGACTTTGAAGGATCTAACTTCAATGGTCCCATCTTGTTGCATATACTTTCAAGTTTTAACTAGAAATGACAATGAGGCTGAATATACGAATCATATAAGATGTTGTTGGGACTATGTCATGTTAGATTGAAGCCAATTCATGAAAAGTATCAACATGTAACAGACTAGAACACATTTGGGATCTAGTCAAAATTGTTATCCCAACTTTAATTTAAGCTAAAAAATGGAACAAACCTCTATAGAAAACTGAAAAAAGCTGAGAAATGTTTAGTTAGTTTAAGTTGAAGTTTGTTCATTAGTCATCTCTTACGGGGAGGCAGCATGCTATTTGCAGTGCATACCAAGTCCTGAAGACTTGGAAATGCAAGGTTAGAAGATGTGTTGTGGCAGAGGTTTCACTGCCGGAAGTTCCAACAATTCTCGAATACCTTTGTAAACCTGTTTCCCAAAAAAGAACCAAAAGGTATCATCAGAAAAGTTTGCATCAATCACAAAGTAACGCGACCCGGGTTTTCAAACAATGATTCACTTCACATTTTCATCTGCAAAAGTTTCTTTGTTGATTCCCCTTAACTTTAGTCAATACTAGGCTAATAATCTCCTCTTCTACTAGACCAGCTGGCATTGCGGTACCAATATCTTGCAAAATATTACACTCTATGATAGAGGAGAAGTTAAAAAAATACGTACCAGCTTTATCTTGGTCTTAATTTATGCGATTTGGCGCGTATAATCCTCTATTTGCCTGCACCATGATATTCAAACATGTAAGCATCATTTATGAAGAAAAAATCTTGGTTGTAGATTATGCAGATTGTGTCAAGAACAGATAGAAGTTAATTGCACCCTTCTAAACATTACTATTAGGAACTATAGCAAGTTACGAAAGAGAACACAAACCTGGAGATCTTTTTCTCCCTTAGCGTGATATAGTTCAAAGCTTCTGACCATGTAAACTCCACATGGAATCCCAGCCCCACATCGATAAACATGCGCTGGGTATCCGTCCTGCGAAACTGATATGATCACAATTTGGACAGGTTCAAGTTCCAATTAATCGTTCAAAGATTGATTCAAGTTAACGAGAACAAAGATGGAAATTTTCTAAATGTTGGAACAGTTCCGGGAACCTTACTTTGGATGCTTGGTTCTCCCAATTGGTTTAATGAAAATGCAAGGTCAAGCACTTGTTTTGAAGCTTAGGTGTTACTCTACATCTTGGTGCACTTGGATCGTGGAAAGTAAGCTAGGAGGGTTGGATTTCAAGCTTCTCAAAACCCTATCCTGCAATATGAAAATTGTCTGTCTTTGGCTAAGGCAGGAAAAGTGTTCCAGCTGCCTACTTTGGAGCTCAACCAGAGGAGCAGGGATGATATCACAATTCGGGGCTTGACACCACATGACATTAAGTTTGTTACTCTACAGAGACAGGGCATTGACTGAAGGAAAGCTTACCTAGAAGGCTTTTAACGAAGAGCTTGAAGATGATACGAAGCTTGATTTCCAGCAGCTTGCCTGTGCAAGAAGGCAATTTACTTGTGCTTGAAGAAAAGGAAGTTTGGGTCGATTTGTCACCTTGTTTGAGTTGGATTTTTGTTTGTTTCTTTCCTTGTTCTCTTAGGATTGTAATAGGTTTAGTTGGCTATAAATAGCTCTTACTTTGAGTTGTAATTCACGTTTAAGTTGATTGAAATAAATATACTCCGAGGAGTTCCCTTGAGCTAGATTGCTTGAGTTTGGTCTTAGATTTCCGTCCCAGACTTGCAGACCTAGCGATCGACTTTCCATCATCGATCTCGTGGCGTTATTCTACCCAAAACCAGCCTCTTTCCCTTGTGTTAATGTTACTAGCTTGGTTTATCCCCTTCACCAAAACACCCTCTGTTTTCCCTTCGAAACCAACCCATACACACAATTTGATTCGAGCTGCGTAATTCTTATTAGAGGCCTAGCTTATGACTCATTAGAAAAATACCAACAAAAAACGTCGATCTTCGGAAGAAAAGAGAGCCCATGAAAACACAATGTACATTAGCAGAAAGAAAGGAGCATTTTGAGTCATTAAGCACTTACACATATGCTTGCACGTAAACTTCAGACCCAAGGTTCACCAGTGTCCTTAGACTGGTAACGCTTTTCTTCTCCAAATTCTCAATGTTTCTCCGCAAATTCGAGCTAGAAAATAGTTGTTCCAATGAAAATAAGTATGCAGGTATCCAAAAATCGGAGATTGAATGAAACATTTTGTGGGAAAAAGGATACAAAATCATTTGTTGTTCAAAGACCTTATCCCTGTAAAATGCAAAAGACCAGAACATCCTGTGAGGTGATCATTTGGACTGACAAGCTTCAAGTAAGAAGCAAGGAGGAGAGAGCAAACAGAAAAGGGGCAAATAAACACAAGGCTGTTCTCCGATAGCCCTAACAAGATCAGGTTTCAAGCGTGATAAGCTCCAACTCATGAAGCTTGCTAATCAAAGCTCGCAATTCCCCAATACTTCAAGCTTGTTGAATGAAAATGAAATAACAAGGAAGAACAGGGTAAAATGAGGATTTGGAAGGTGCAACTTCAACACACAATTTGGGGAAGAGGCTCGATCCAAACAAAGTCGCAACTCGACCACGATTGAGGTGGTGACTCAATCGATAATGAGCTCGCTCGTCACTGGAAATCAATCCACGTAACAAGGATAATTCACGATCATAAACACTCAATGAATAAAGGTTCTTTGATTAACAACGTCTATCTATTACACTGGAGTTTCGAGGCCTTAAATAGACAAACTTTAAACCTAATTCAACTACAAAACCAACGAGGAAACATAATTAGACTATACTACAATTAAGGTAAAAATCCAAACTGGAAAAGGAATCCAAACTCGTCCAAACTTCCCTTTCTTCTAGCTCAAGTAAGCTGCCTCTCGAAACAGGTTCCATAGCATCTTTGGGCTCCCTTGTTCACAACCTTCCAGGTTTCCATTTCCTCAGCCAATGCCTTGCCTATGTTGAAAAACATACATACTTTCATGTAGTATGAAGCTCCTTCCTTGATTCCGAATCATCTTCCTGGAAATAGAGCTTCAAAGTAGCCTTCCTGAACTCAGTTTTATACTTAGACAAATTCTGCCAGTTTTTCAGTGTTGAGGAAGCATTTTGTTGACCCTTGTAAATGGTCTTCTGAGCTTCCCCTCGAGCTTCCAACCACCCCAACTTGTAGAGCGGAACTCCAGCTTCAAAACAACACCTTAAACTCATATTTCCACCAACCCAATTGGAAGAACCAAGCTCCCAAAGT